GTAAATAATATGTCTGTCTTTTAAGCCAAGAAAAAAATTAGTTGTGCTATGTATAATGACAATAAAGAATCTTGACTTGACTCATAAACCCTTTAATGTTCTTCAATCAATAGAAATAACAAAGCCAATGCTACCAGCTCTGATGTGCACCAGGCTGTTTAAAGCTATAAATAGTTGCAGCCTCCTCTTTATTCTGACTCAGTTTCCTGTGAGTGGTCCAGTGTAGCTCCAAGTCCTTAAGTGTGGTGGGGTGGGGCCTGGCAGGTGTGATGTCCTGCACAAAGCACCTCAGTGGTGGGGCCCTTGGCCTTCCAGGGGCCCCATTAACCCTTCATACAAGCTAATGGGCGCTCCTCAAGGACCCCACAGAAGGGGACCACACACAACACATGACTTCATTGTTTCATCTGCACAAAAACATGATGTAATGACTGTTATAAAGGTAGTGATGTGGTTCTTGATGTATCTGCAGGTTGTTTCACAGCCTCACAATGAAGACGCCACTGCCTGCTCTCAAATGGACATTATTTACTTTTTAAAAATGTTTTACACTTTGCAGTATATACTTATTGGTTGCAGGGCATCTAGATATAAATTGAACTACACCAATAAAACCAGTAACAGCAGCGTTACAGTTACGGTTAGTAGTTGGTGTAATATTAGTTGATCAGATAGTCCAGGTCTATTTTTTAAAAATAAACCCTTAGCCATATAGATCTGTCTGAAAATACCGATCGACTCATGTATTTTTAATAATTCTGACTTAAAAATAATTTCTATTATCGTTTAAGCAACATATTATTGGTTTCACAAACATTATCATTATTTTGAGGAACGAGCTCACAGCAGCAGACACGCATGCGTCCTGGCGCTCCGGGCAGGCAGCGCGATGCAGCGCCGCCGCCGTGGCTCAGTGCGCCCCGAGCAGCCAGAGCGCACGGTTACAATGAGCTTCTCCATCGGTCCGACTGAGAGCCAGCGTCAGTACCGACCGTCGAGCAGCGCACGCACCGCCACCGACCACGATCGACACCAGCTCCGCCCGCCCGCAGCAGGATGCCCGGGGGAAAGAGAGGGCTTGTGGCACCGCAGAACACTTTTCTGGAGAACATCGTCCGGCGTTCAAGTGGTGAGTCCGCGCGTCGGACCGAGGCTCGTTGTGGGTTTGGTTTGACCAGGCGGCTCGAACCCGGACTCTTCTGGAATACTGCGTGTTTTTAGAGGCGTGGTGGAGGATGAACCAGCATAAACTCACTTATTCCCAGTGATGGAGTTTACGCTCTCTAAGGCTACGTGCGTGTTTCCATGATGAGTAACGTTAAACTGATCTAAGTCGCATGTAGAAAGGAATGTTTTTGTTCATATCAGCGGCTGTTTTCCTCAAGAAGCCTCCTGGAAGTCACAGTTTACGCATCGTCCTGTTCCCCACTCCATCATTCTGTGCTTGACTTTTCTTAATGAAGTTATGCAAATTGGCTCTCCAGCTAATGTGGGATCATTATGTGAGACGAAAAGGGCTGAGAAAACGGGGGGTTAACACGTAATTAGCGGGATGAAAAGTTTATTAAGTTTTTAATCAGCACTGCCAGCTGCTCGGCCATTAAAGCCGGAGCCCTCTGACCAGTCATTTACTGTCAGCTCTGAGTTTTCCCAGTGTATTTATTCTCTCTTGGTAGCCTTGTTCCCTGATGGATGCCCTGTCATTGTGTAACACTACTGCGTTTTGTTTATGGAAGAAAAGTCACAGGCTGTGAAGTAAAATAAGCTGTGTACTAAATAATGCGTTCAGTATTACTCAGCTGCAGTGTTGGCATGTTTTTGTCTTATCCTCCTCCATCTGAGCTATAAACTGCGCTTGGACTTGACACCGCTCGGAGAAATACGCGCTCCTTCCTCTCATTAGACTGATTGCTTTCCTTTATCTTCCCAGAAAAGTCAGCGGAGTAATTTGCTGGAATGGAGTCAAGGTTGTGGATGCGGGCGGGCGGCATCAGAACATAAAGTACTACAAAGGTAAAAGTGCTCATTTTGCAGAATGAGACTTTTAACATTGTGTTTCATATTATTGGATTATAATTATTGGTTGCATCACTTTAATGGTAAAAGTAAACTCTATTCAGGGTTGCAGTTCAGTTGTATGTAAACTTTTAGGAGTCATGGTTAATGAAGACGCGCACACACAGACCAAAGAGCTTCACACAACACAAAGTACAACACATGTAGTTGACCCTGTCCCCTTTACCACGGCCTGCAGAGTTGGTCTGAGCCATATTTGTCAGAGACCAACCCTCCTGCTGGGGTTAAAACAAGGAGAACAAGCAGAGGGGTCAGTGTAAAGACTCTGACTCGTCCCTTCCTGATGCCCATCCAATCCATAACTGATCCAATGACGGAATAGCACCGGGGTAATTATGACATCATAATGCACATTTCTCTGAAGATGATTCTGATGGTATGAATGCAGTTCCAGTCAGGGTCAGTCTTCTCTGGGGGGGTGGGGGGGTGTTAGTGGCAGGTGGATTCTTGACCTCAGTGGCTACGGCCCTGCCAGGAGGCTTCTGTGGTCCAATCCAGCACAAAGCTTAGAAAAGTTCATCCACCTTCTTGTTTTTTCTTCATAAACGTCTGTTTCACTCTGCTCATTGTTTTACTGTAAATTCGATCTGAAATGAAAAGGTCCCCTGTGGCTCGCCGTAGTTGTCCCTGACACTTGTGTCAGAGCTGTGAACACTAATATAGTTTCATCAGTGGGTTTCAGGAGAGACTGCAGGTCCCAAACCCATCTGACTGCTGCATCAGAGGCTTGTCCACTGCTGCAGAAGCAGCTTCTGGTGGTGTCGGCCTTCAGGCGGCCGAGCCGCTCGAACCTCACGTCAGCTAATTGGTCCTGATGGATGAGGAGAGCAGAAAAGGTCGAGATGATTCTGACTTGTTTGTGCTGCATTAGGTCAGTCAGCTTTTAAATTTGGCTGTAGCTGACAGGTTTTAGGCTCAACTAAACAAACATCACTTAAGTAATTGTTTGGAGAGAGAATCAAAGAGCAGATGTGGTGAAGCTCCTGGACCTGGTGCTCTTTAAGCCCACAGAGTAAACCAGCCACTTACCTGTGTCTTCATGGAAATAATGAACGTTAAGCTGTGATGGACACTGTATGTTTGTTTTGGTTTGCGTGGCCACATGGTTACTGGCTGGAGTTTAACTGATATACAGAACCAATTTTGGTGTTTTATTAGGAATTGGATTTCACCCCATCTTCGATGTCCACTGGTGATATAATGCAGGTTTTTCCCCTGACTCCAGCGAGAACATTTTTATTATAGTTCCTATATTTTCTGTCATCAGTTGGCTGACCAGTCAAATCATTTGAGTGTACTGCTGGAGGGTTTTACTCATCAGTCTGTAAAGCCTGCCTGAAAGAGCTGCTGACGCACCATCAGCCGCTCATCTGTCCTCAAACTTTATTGTCGTCTCATAGTTGAAATGCTTTTTCACAAGTCTCCTCCCTGATGTATTGGGAACGCATACTGTGGGAACGCCGCATGCCTGCGGTGTTTGGGGGCATCTGTCTTTTCATCCCAGAATTCAATCCTCTTTGAAGAAGAGGAGGCTCTTTAAATGGCAATTACCTGCCAGAGTCAGCAGATGATGTTTTTCTGACCTGTCAGCTACAGTTACCGCTGGCTCATCCTTATGCCAGTGTTTTCAAAAACTGACTTGCAAGACTTGAACCTTCCCTGGACTGCTGTAGATAAGTCATCACAGTGAACATTTAGAAACCTCTACTCATGTACTTTGTCAAAATTATGTCATTGTCGTGTGGTGATGTAGCAGGGACAGACTGAGTCACCTTTGCTTCGTGCCTGAGGAAATCGATCCAGCAGTCACCTGCTAAAGTTTATGAAAAGAAGTCTGAAAATGAAATGATGAATGTCTCCATACTGGTGTGTTGTTCGTCTGTGGGGCTGCTTGCTGGTTGTCTGAGGGCACGCCACCACCTGAGACTTTGTCTGCTGCTGAAACCTTCTGGGGTTTTGTTCCACAGCAGCTGACTGTCGACTTGTGAGTGACTGTCAGCGTGAGTTCCCTTACAAGCGTTTGTTTCAACAAATTGTGAGCTGTGCCATGTATTGTATCTGCATTTCTGACAGGATGCGCTTATTAACCAAGCTCTGATAAACCCCCAAAAGCCTGCAGCTTTAAGGGGCACCTGGGGAGAACATGGCTGAATGTGCAGTTGGAACCAGTGCATGGATGAGAGACGCCACGTCCTGGCCCACTCTCACTGGGGTTATCAGACTGTGTGGAAAATCTCAGTTAATGCTGCTTGAACCAAACGGTGCACGCTAACTTTAGCTTTGGAGGAAGCTGCGTAGCTGCAGGTACAGTAATACCAGGACCTGTCAACCATAGAGATGAGCCTGCACTTAGAATTTCTTTTGTAATAACTTTATTAAATGTTTGCCTTTACTGAAGTTTGAGAATATCTTGAAGCTGAAGATCTGTGAAGAACTGATGTTCCTCTGGCCACTGGCTGACTCCTGTAAGCTGTGTGTACTGTACAGAGATGAAGAATGTTGAGTCGGGGAATTTCATCTCATAAAAATGCGTGCTCTCTCTCTCACTGGACGTTGCACCTGAGCGCTCACAATCCAGCTGTGCTTCAGTAGGTCGACTGTCGGCATAACATGAGCAGAGTTACAGGCGAGGGTCATGGAGAAACTGCTGCATGTTGTAGTAAAACCCATACACTGGCGCATCTTTAGTAAGAATGAAAAGCATCTTCACAAGGTCCATCTGAGGTCAGAACTGGCTCAGTGCAGGGCAGTTGTTTTTTTTACAACTGTCTCTCTCAACGTTTTCATTGGTTGAAGAACAAAGCAAGACCGACTCAGCCCAGCCGTCTCTGGAGGCCGAGAACCTTTGCAGCCTTCTATGTGTTGTTTTCCTGTCTGATGCTGTTACTGGGGCTGATGATGTCCCCGTCTTGTCCTTCTCTCAGAGACCAGCTTCCTCCTGGGAAACGCCCAGATCGTGGAGTGGCCTGTAGTTTACAGCAATGACGGATTCTGCAAACTGTCGGGCTTCCACAGGGCTGAGGTCATGCAGAAGAGCAGCACATGCAGGTAAAACTCAGGATTTGTCTGGTTGTATTTCATATTATTACTGAACATTTAAGCGTTGTAAATGTGCACATATGTTTTATACAAGAGCAGGGTTAGTGTGGTAATGGAACAAAAATGACTCTTCAGTCTTGTTTTGCTTGATAAAGCTAAACAGCCATTTTCATACATGCTTTCCTACTGAATGTAGGCATGTGTCTTATTTAGCCCCCGTATTTATGTCTTTAATAGTTTAAATGCTTCAGTTAACATGGAGGAGATGTTTTTACAATACCAACACCAGAGCAGCCGTGACTCACTGCTTTTAAAGCTAAAACCAAAGTGCCTCATTTATCCTGCCAAAGTCACTCAATACGTCATTCTTTATTCAGTTTCATGCTTTATTTAGGCCCAGCAACAGAGAGAGAAGATGAAAAAGAACGGGTTTTGAACCTTCCTGCTTCTGTCTGACTGTAGCAGTGATTAAAATCTGCACTGTGCTGCTTTGGGGGCAGGGCTGGTACAGTGAGCCTCTGAAATGAACCCACTTTAGAGCAGCCAGGGGAGCTCAGCCCGGTCCACCTCCAGGACCGCGTCTCGCTCATCTGTCAGTCAAGATGTTTTAAAATTTGACTCCAGGGGACGGCTCCTCTTCTCAGGCACCTCTCAGACCTGACCGTGGGCGACGTTCCTCACTAGCCGCTGGCTAAAAAGGCTCCTTGGACACTAAATGAGAACGGGGGCCTTGGATTTCTCTGTCCACTCCCTGCTGCTGAGGGCTGAGGACACTGCGACTGACAGGCCACTCAGATGTGACACTGAGAGGATGGAGGCACCCGCTGAGAGCTGAAACTGGAAGTGACGATGGCCTGACAATGGGCCCCGGTGGCATTTTTGTGGAGTGATCTTTTAACTCCAGTACAAGGGTCTGACTCTGTGGTGCTGGTGCAGACCACGTATCGCCAATTCACCCAATGATGCGAGGGTTACACAGGGTCGCAGCTGCTGCATTGCAAAACAAAGGAATACCATGAACCTGTGGTTTTCATTTTGGGAGTGAGGAGACTAATGGTTCACAAGATAAATGTGTCACATGATGAGTAACGTCATCGGGACTAAAACAAACAAACATTGTTCCGTTGGTTGTTTTGTTTTTTCAACCTCAGTGAGTCAGGAGCTGCTCAGAATGTCTGAAGTTAGCAACCAGGAAACTGGGTCCCCTGCTAGAATATAGACACTACAGGTAGCAGCTGTTATTCATGGAAGATGAGCTCCCTGTTGCCTCATCCCCAAATCACCAGACTGAAGCTGCCTCACCTGTTTGGCCTCCCTGCTGTAATACTAATTTAGGCCACTGTGTTAATCTAACTGACAAAGAGCCTGCAGGCTTCTTCACTAGCAGCATCTTACCTGACTGAAATGTGCAGTTGAAGCTTGAAGAAAACAAAACAATCGTGTATCTTAAAAGGCACAGTCTGAATTTTCGTGGTCGTGGGCTTTCTTCTCCACCTGTGCCAGACTTTTTGTTGATGCAGGTTAACTTTCAGGGCCAGCACCGGGCTGCACACTGATATTTGGCATAGTAGTCGCAGTAGGATCTGTAATTCAGACCCAGGACCTTCTACCAAACAAAAGATGCCACTGTGAGAATTCCAGTTCAAATCCTTAGGTCCAATAAATGTTTAAAGCTTCTAAGAGTCGCATCTTTTTCATTTAATATTGTCTTAATGAATGAAGTGCTAATAGTGGAGGTGCCAGGTGGAGGTGGATATGGATCGTGGGCATACGTGTGCATGCTTTCCACAGCAGAGACCTCATCCACAGTCTCCTCTGTGCTTCAGGAAAATAAAATCCCTTTGGTTTAGGGATTGTCCAACAACTACACTGAACATCTTTCTGGTTTAGTATCAACATGTTTGCACTTTACAAAGTGTATGTAAAGGAACAACGTATCCTGGAGCTGGAGCTTTGACCTCCACTCTGTGTTCTGTTCAGGCCACAGCTGTTTCTCATATCTCTAATTTTCTTTCTAGTTTTATGTACGGAGAGCTGACAGACAAGAAGACCATCGACAAGGTCAGGCAGACCTTCGACAACTATGAGTCCAGCTGCTTCGAAATCCTGCTGTACAGAAAGAACAGTGAGTGCATGTTTGACAGCGTCTCATTAAGTCTCTCATGGCTTCATACTTAATGCCTAGATTGTTGTAACACCCAGCATGGTCACAGATAACCATCCTCTTTATCATCAGATACTCGGATTCATCATTCATGGTGAAAAACGCCCATTAAAATTTCCTGCAATAGGCCGTGACATTTTTTTTACGTCTTGCTTTGTCCAACTGACAATCTAAAATCCAAATGTAGCATTTAAAATACATAAAAGCTGAATATCAACATGTTTGAGAACAGACTGGTTTTACTGGCTTACTTAAAGCTGCGTTAACTAACTTCTCCCACTAATCTTTGACCATTATGGGCAAAGTGAGAGTCAAAACAAACTCCAGGATGTTTTTGTGATAGTTGATATTATAACATTTGTCAACAAACAGGTAACATCTGCTCTGAACGAGCGTGTGAATCATAAGCCTGATGTGTCTCCTCCCTGTGAGCTCCATCAGTGACCACGTTGCTGCACTGGGCAACATGTTCCTTCATCACCACGAGCGCACACACACACTGGAGTTTAGTTTGACTCAGTGGCACACGCACCGTCGTCCTGCCACAAATTCATCATTCTGATCTAAAAGAACCAGATTTAGATTGATGTCAGATTTTTACCTGCAGTTCCAGAAAGCCTCTCCCTAATGTTAATGTATTATTGAAAGCAAACCCATTTATTTTATTTTTTTTACCATTATGTAACAGTTTTGCTTTATGATTTATGTTATGGTGATGTTTTTTATGGACGTTCTACTGGAAACGTACATACATATAATTTGTGTTCATCGCTGTTTACGGTTGATCAGTTTAAGCCTCCTCTGGCTCACAAGAGCCAACTTTTTGGCAAAGTTGTGAAATGTTGTGCCCTTCACTTCAACAAGCAAGGAGGACACTATATTATTAAGCCCAAGTAGAAAAGTAGTCGATGCTTTTGTCCAGAGCAGCAGCACAGCTAGCAGTAAATACCAGATCAGGAGCACAGTGAACAGAGTGTGCAGACAAAGATGGTCCCAAATGTTCCTGTTCCCCAGGAGGGATCACTTCTGAGAGCAAAACGCAGCGTGGACAAGCATGAAGCAGCCAGTGTGAAGCGGCAAAAAAAGGAAAAGATCCAGTTTAAAATGGCACAGATTTAATGACGAGTCAGTAGAACAGGACCTGGTGATGTAAACAAGACGGATGATGACTACAGACGACTTGTATCCACAGAAGCTACGACATTAAACTATGGCTCTCCTGAACGTGTGTGCTGAGGTAATGAAGCTCCGCCGGTTTGAGGTTCTGCACAGAAAGAACAGTCAGATTGCCAAATGTGATGACCTTCACATTAAGTTGGTCAAATGGTATCTGCTTCAGTAAGAAATAATTAACGTGTACAGTACATTGAGCTTCATAAAGATTACTGCGTACATCAGGTGGTGTGCTTGGCTGTTGAACTGCAGAATCAGCTCATTTCCCACATTTGAAGCAGGGCTCTTTGACACTTGCAGTCCAGTCACAGTTCTACGTGCTGTTCCTCAGGTTCAATGCTTCAGCACATTCTAGTTCTTAATAAATTTGAAATGATGAATACTGTGTTCAAGTGACACATTTTAGTTTTAATTTGTAGCTTTACATCAGTGTTGTAAGGACTGTGTGGGAGATGTGGCCCTTTTAACATCCACATTGTCAAAGGTATCTGGAATATTCACTGGCCTAATTAGCAGGACACAGCTGAGAATGTTGATGTCTTTGCAGGAAGTCCAGTGTGGTTCTACATGCAAGTGGCTCCCATCAGGAATGAGAACGACAAGGTGGTTCTGTTCCTTTGCACTTTTAAGGACATCACCCTCTTCAAGCAGCCCATTGAAGACGAAACCACTAAAGGTGAGTGTTTCCACAGCAGCAGGCACAAACGTCCTCTCGTTTTGTGAGGACTATGTTTGGGACGTGGCTGTTTTCGTAAAGAAAGGAGTGAAGAATGACGTTCAGTATTTTAAAGTTTTATTTGTATAAATCACAACAAAAGTCATCTCAGGACACTTTACAAAGTAAGGTCTAGCCCTTAATATTATTATTATAGAGGAAAACCCAACAAATCCCCCTGAGCAGCTCTTGGTGACAGTGGGGAGGAAAAACTCCCTTTAACAGAAGAAACCTCCGACAGACCCCAGCTCTTGGTGGGCGGCCTTCTGCCTCGACCGGTTGGGGTGAGTGGATAGAGGAGAGACAAAAGAAGAAAAGCAACAAGACACAACAATCAAACACTGATCAGGTCGATGTGGCTGGTGACTGCTCATCAGAGACATAGAGCTCCAGGGCAACCTGTAGAAAGGTACAGGGAGAGAGAGAGGACACACAGTTAGTGATGGGTTATCGTGGCATATAGATGGACATCCTGATAGTAAAGAGTTACAGTAGTCCAGCCTGGAGGTAACAAATGCATGGACCAGTTTTTCAGCATCACTTTGAGACAGGATGCTCCGGATTTTGGCGATACTGTGCAGGTGAAAGAAGGCAGATCTAGAGACTTGGTTTATGTGTGATTTAAAGGACATGTCCTGGTCAGAAATGACTCCAAGGTTCCTCACAGCAGTACTGGAGGCCAGAGCTATGTCATATATGGTCAGACAGCATGTTTCTAAGGTTTGTGTGCGGCCAAAGTTTGTTCTGAGTACATGACGTGCAACTCGGCACAACATAATGTGCACAGTGTGGAGTTACAGAAGAGAGAGAGAAACGGGCTGACATGACAAAATCTGAGTGGGAACCAAATGACTACATGGCTGGATGCCCCAGCATGTAATGTAATGCCAGCTGGTTACTGATGGAACTCATAATTATGTTTCTTCATCCTCCTCTGCAACTTTTTTCTTCCCCTCTTGTAATTATTCTCACTGATAGTTTCACTCTCTGGATTTTTTTTCTTCTCTTCCTCATCT